TCTTCTGAACTCATATTCTTCTATAAGCAACAAAATAAAGTCAAGGCAGCAACAATTAAAACATGAGACTCACAGAAGCTGAAGTCGTGCTTGCCTAAGCTTGCACCCCTAATGCGACATCATGACTTCTGTGTCAGAGGAACAATGTCTTCCTTGTAGAGTGGGGATTTGGCAGTAAAAGGATGTACTGGAGAAGTTACGATTATTTAGAATTGGCAACAGTTGTCCATAGCAGGAACCCAGCAGAGAGTTTTTTTCCCTCCTGTCTTGGCAAAATTTGAAGTGGAACAAATCTCGCAAGCAATGGAAAGCAACAAGGCTAACTACCTGGTGACTTTGAAGCCTGAATCTCTGTTACAACTGTGCTCCTTCCAAAGCAAACATCCCTGCCCAGTGGAGGTAGGGAGCAGCAGAGTTCCCCTTCGAGCAGCAAACCCCAACATGTCCACCCAGAGGGGAAGCCTGCAGTGTGTGGCTCCCCCGCTTACAGCCCAACATGCCGACGCTGTGAGGAGAGGCCTGCGGTACATGGCTGCCCCACTGATGGCCCACACAGACATCGAGTCGTGGGCTTGTACAACATGTTGAGACCACCAGAGGAATCATGCTGTGAAATGCATCGTTAGTGTTACAGGGTGGATTATAGACTGCTCCTGTGATCTGAGAGTGCTGCAGGCGGTGTGCTAGGAGAAAAGCTTTCCAGATTGCGCTCATGCAAATCGGTATCTGTGATCACATTCATTATGGCTCCCACTACAACATTATTTTCACACTCTCGTGTGCTGTTCACTCAGTCTAAACTTTTTTGTTACTGCAGGTTGTATGACTACAACTTAGCATCTCTTTGCCAACACCTTTACAAGAGTGAGAAAACATTATTTCAAAGATACAAATATGGTAACAGAGGCACATGAAAAGTAATGGGAGTGCTTAAAGTTAACCAGAAGAGGGTGGCATGACCCTAACCTACATTTCCTGCCTCTAGAGTCTCCTAACAGGTTACTGAATCAGAGTGTCTGTCATTTAGTTCAGCTTAGTTTTTTGTTCTCAAAAAATATTTTCTTCTGAATGGGAGATCTATGTAATTTAGAGAAGAGCTGGAATTGCTGTAAGATGGGAGAAGTAGAAGTGAAATATGACCACATTATTGAGCACATACTGTTTTTACTGGACAGTAGGTCTTTTCAGATTGATTAAACTGTAAAACTATTTCAAAATGACTTAGGATTAAAAATACAATCACAAAACAGCAATATAATAGGAAATTCACAATAAGCAGATGTATCCAAGAGATGGTTTTCAAACATTTTGCATGAAAAAGGAAGTGAAAGGAATGATGAGACAGTGCTGCCAGGACATAACCTTTGAGAAGATCCTCAGGACAACCTAACTAACTGTTTGGAAGTAAAAGGAAAAAGCAGACAGTGCTTTAAAAAATGAGAAAGGCAAAACCTAGCCATGAATTAATCCAACAAAAGTCAAAGCCAAGAAATTGTGAGCAGTGAGTCATCAGTAAAAGGGCACTTGCGTGTAACATACGGGTTCAGTTCACAGGTACCCAATCTGTTTTTTAAAATTAAAATTTAAAATATGTCAAAAATATTCAGTGTTCAGCTGAAAGTTGAAAAAAAGACTTTCAAGATTTCAAGTCTGAATTTTGAATGTTTGGCTAATACATCAACACAGGCTGGCTTGCCAAAAATATTAAAATACAACTAAGGAGATCATAAATTAGTAAATTGTCAAGTATTCTTAATACGCGTTCCTAATGCCAGACATTTATACTAGTAAAAGAAGGTTACTTAAATAATAAGTGTCAACTACTACTCAGAGAGCTCAGGATAGTTTTACTTTAATGCACAGGATAAACTTTGCTTCAGCAAAGCCATATGGAAAGAAGTAACAATGCTTTAACTTGGAAACATGAGAAGTGCCTATATTTTAGGATTTCAGTATTCATTTAGAGAACTATTATACCGTGCAGTACAAACCTTTTATTAAATCACTGCATTCATTTATATGAAATAAAAGTTTTATTCAATCACTGTATTTTGATAGACTAGACTACTGAATGTAGACAGGAGATAATGGATTGAGCATAACGTCCTTGAAGGTGAGTAGCTGCTTCAGCTCACCTCTTTAATACTCAGGAGATATCCTGCTTCCATTGCCCATTGGACTTTTGAGAGCCAAGGGGAAAGATGCACCAGTGCTTACTGGTGTAACAAATCAGCTTCTGAATCACCTAACTATAAAACTGGCAGAGAAAAAATTAAATGATCTCTGCTTAAAATATCTCAATGTCATTTTTAAATCTCTTTAGGAAGATCAGCCCTGGTGACTTTATAGCAGCTTAGCCATGTGCAATGTAAAGGCTCACTGGTACTGTAGCCATCACTGGGTTTTGAAATGAGTAAAACACAAAGTTATTAAATCAGTTTTGGTCTTGCAGTCTCATTTGACCACTTCATTTTAGTATTAAGTATTAAGCAATTAAAGAATTCGATACACAGATTTCTAAAAGAGGCAGGAGACAGAACTTCACTGGCATAGAGATCTGTAAGAAGGCGTGGATTTCTTTTTGGGGAAAGAAAAAAGTGATTGCCATACTCTTAACACTTGTTACATCAGAGAAAGAAGAAATTAAATTAATGGGTTACTTTTTAAAAACATCTTCCCAGCAATTATTTAGCTGTTTTGAGTTCTGAGTTCTCGAATGATCAGCAAACCTTTTTTGTGTCATAATACACACAGAACATATTTTCCTGCAAGCCCAAATGTTAGAATCTGTGTGCTTATATATAAACTTCGAAACTAGTGTCATAGAAGAATATATATAGTCAAAATTAAAATATGCTGATGTAAACACTCACCAAAGCTTGTCCTTCAAATGAATAAAGCAAACAAACAAAAAAAGTAAACAAAATCCAAAGCAAAACAAAAACTGAAACAATTGCATCAATAAATTTTAAGTATTTGTTGTTTTTCCCTCTTTTCATGAAAACTAGCATTTGTGTATTATTTATGTGCCCATGTGCCTGTCTCCCATCCGTCTATCTTCAGCTAGCACATTTGTTACAAAGAAGCTGAAGAAGACCTGTGAAACAACTTATTCACAGTAGGATCCAGTAATTATGATGCATCTGCAGCATAAGGCAGATAAAATGGCGTTAAGACATTTCTTTCTATTATAAAAGTCTTAGGTTCCTATATGGAACAGCATTTTATCCACTTACCTTGCATATCAGTGTTGAAGAAATTGCCTTCTTCACATTGTTCACACATAAAGCTCAGCAAACTCATCTTATAGTTTTAGTTACTCAGACACTTAGAAGATGTATGAAGTATTTCAAGGAGAAAGTCTTCAGATAGTTCGTTTTTATCTGTTCACAAAATAAACCCATTAAACCCACTGAAGATTTTCTAGTCTCAAAAACAAACAAACAAACCAAAATCAACAACCTTTCTGTTGAAGAAGAAAATATTATACTGTTTTATAAACCAATGCACTATGTTATCATTTCTCAATATCAGGAAAAAAGAAGGGTAGTTTGAATCATGAATCTTTAAGGAAAACTTGCAGGAAAAGGAGTTTCTGTGACTCTGGGCTGTGGACATACTTCAGTGAAAGAAAATATTGATATTTCCAGGGAGAAGTAAGAAAATGATTGAGCCTTCTAAAAGAATAGAATTCAAATAAAACAGGCACATCCAGGTATTGGCAAAATATTTTTTGACTGTGGGGAAGAGCAAAGATCAAATGTGTGTGTTTTAGTGTGGCCTAAAAATGATGCTGAATGCTAACAAACCAATATATTGTTAACAGATTCTTCCTTTTCCTGTTATTAAATTTAATTTAATGCATCCATATATACAAACACTGGTGTATAAAATGCTTTCTGCCTTCTCTCTTCTAAAAATATTTGAATAAGTATGACAAATGTAATTCTTACAAAAGAGGATGGCAGTTCTACTGTATTTCTTGATGTAATAATGGTAAAGGAAAATGGCATTTAACAGTCTATTTTCAGGTAATAATCAGCATGATATGGTGGACATGCAAAGCATCTGACAGTGCAAAATTTTCTTATCTTTAGACACTGGTTTTGTATCAGCTCCAAGTGACTATCTGGTAATGGGGAAGAAAGTGCGGCTGCAGTGCTACTCTATATAAACATCCTGCCATTCATCTGACTTTGGTGGAGTTATCTCAGATACATGCTGGCACAGAAAAAGGGTAAATGTCATACTGGTCATGTAGCTCCATTACTCACACACGAGAAAAGAAGCAATGAAGACAGATGTAGAACACTGGCAAAAGTTTCTTTCTTGAAGGCTTAATTGTATAGCTTTTGCCTTAAAATAAGATTTCTCTACAGTTGTACTGCCTCAAGCTATATCCAAAAGGCTTCCCCTCCTATACCAATCCTACGTCATAAGTACAGTATCAATGCAAGGAAATCAATAGGAGCCTTACCTATGAGTCTGAGACTGTTTTAATGAAAGCAGAGTAAAACTCCTGTTGATTTTCCAGGGAAAAACGAAGCCCTGGGGAATACTGGTAGCTCTTCATTAAGAGCTTTCTCCCAGATATACAGCATGAAGGCACTATCACCTCAGATACAGGGATGGCAAGTCCTACAGTTTAACCATCACCTCCATCACACATTTTGGTAAAACATTTGTCCTGAATATCCCTGTGAATAATACTTCCACAGTCCAGGAAAGGGTTAATAACCGGCCACAAATAACTTATTTGTGAGTTCACTTGAAGTCAGTAAATTCAACATAAAATTGAAAGGGAACAAAGTCTTTAAAACAGTGTTGGATCTAAGGTTCTGAAGTTATAATCAGTTCATTGTAACCAGGCCTCAATATATCAAACTAAAGAACTGATGTGATCAGAGCAACTGTCATTTCCCAAGATCCACCTGTTATTGCCAGAATGTATCTAAAAATAAGTTAAAAAAAAGCACAATATTTTGAAAAAGAAACCTTTATTGTTCATACAAAGCTGACTCTGTCACATATCATGAGGCATCATTAACAAGCTAAATATGACTTCGCTTAAATCAAACAACGTAGCTTAATGAAAGTATCTAACACAGTCGTGATCAATTCTTTGTTCTTTCTTGGATGAATGTGTGTTTTGATATCAGCTCATTTCTTTTAAGATGTTAGCTTAGCCAGCATGTTATATGAATAACTTCTTTGCCAGGTAAATCCACTACAGGCACTAAAATCAGAGCTGGGGTCTTCTTGCCCAAGCACTTTTCAAGGTTTTCTTGTAGCCCTAAAACAGAAAAAAAAAATTCATGAATCCTCTGTCTTAGTTACTATTGTGTGTCATCTCTTAAAAATAATTCCTGAATATATTTTTGAAAACTATCACAAAGTAAAAATTAACAAAAGTGAAATGCAACACTGAATTTTCAATTTATACAGGAAGAAGAATCACCATCTCCAACCTCCAAGTCAACTAATTTGCGATCAACTGTACATGATTCTATTTAAGGCCAGGATTCATCAAAATAGCTAAAAGCATGACCAGCTTTGAGTGCTCTGTCAGTGACATATACAGCAAGCTTCAAATGAAGTGCAGGCAGTAAAAATAACTGAAGGCCAGCTGAAATACAGTTCTTTGTAATTTCTGGTATTTGGATGATGAATGCGTGGTTGTCTGTAAGTGAGTTTCTGCTCTCAAGCCTCACCCTGTTGTGTCAATTTACCAATGTAAAATGGGCCATTTTAAAACATTGTAAACATGATTTCTGTTTGAAATCAATGGAAGCATTTTGTGTCGAAGACAAAAGAAAGTGTAGGATGACAGCATACATATCTGCAGCTACTAAAAATACAGTACCCAGCTACAAAGAGCTTATTCAAGACTGTTTTGTGACAGAAATCTGTAAATTCTATGTCCACTAGCGGAATGATGGTAGAGACAAACTAATCAGGAGAATAAAGGAAGAAAACTAAAGAATGGAAAATTAAAAGTCAGTACTAAGACATTTCTGGACATGCTGCAACCTCAATGGACATGGTAGGAATCCAGCCACACACAGTCTGTAAAGCAGACTACAGAAACCCTTCCAAATGGCTCTGCAAAAGATAGTTTCAGAATGACATGGTATGACCTGCATAGTTTTTGGTTTTGTTATTTCTGTCTGTAGCTTCTGTGATTACTGCAGTTCTTTACAACACTAAGCATTCTTGGCTAGAGAGAGTGTAAAGAGGGCAGAACTTGAAGACTGTCAAACTGTGGTAGTTGTTTCTTTTTTTTTTGGCATGACTTCCTGTGTAACTGTGAATAGGCAGTTCAGTCAAAGTGTTACCTCATATAGGATAAAACAGGAATTTTGCCATTGTATTCATGGGTGCCAAAACTGTTCTCTCTTGTTACCTGGCAGCAGTATAATAAATTAATGTAATAAAAGCAACACTGCCTGTGAAATATTGCAAAGATGGTACCAGCCTTCTGAATTCTGCTGGCTTTCCTGTATGAACAACATTGACATTAAAGACAAAAACGGATGGGGTGAGTCAAAGATCAACAGTCAGCTCAAAGGCCAAAGGACTTCATGTTATGTGTAAAAAGTGACTCTGTCTATGCATCTCAGATATTCAGTGACTTGCTAATTAGCCATCAGCTACTATTCTCATTCTAAAAATTCAATTTCAATAAACTTTATAGCTATGCTAGCTCAGAAGGCATTAAATGGAAGTGGGTAAAGGAAATTAACTTCAAAAATCACCAATTCTGCCCTACTAAAGTAGCATTTCCTCTTTTTCTTCAATTAATATTGTGAAAATATAATTTCATTCTTTTACTTTTTACAGCCTTAAAAGTTGTGTAACAATGCTAAGAGCTACCGTAACAAAACCAGGTATTACTTTCAAAGGAAGAATTTGAAATTTAACTGTATCCTTTTGCTTTTTGAGGCAGCCAAAATAATTCTAAATATTTACATTTGAATATAACCTAATGATCTTGCTTAGCAATCAGAAAGACACAACTTCCTCACTTTTCTATTGCAGGTGCAAACTACTGCAGCAAAGGCTACACATATAATTTAAATGTAGCTGGAAATCCGGGACACGTGTCTCTAAATGTTTTATTATACTTCTAAATCAAATGGTATGATATGAAAATATTCTGCCGTAGACATACATCATTTTACATTTGAAAACTATAAGTAGAAGTCTGTTTCTGCAAATTTCCCCTGGAAAAAGGATATGAGGTCTTCCAAAAAAGTAAAATTGTATTGTAAGGACCCCGCAAAAGATAATGCACAGTAGGTAAATCTGTGTCAGACTGTGTAATGATGGCTGACACAGTACAAAAATGGACAGCTGTACATTTAACCTCCTATAAATACTATATGTAAATAAATCTTCCAATACTAATTGTATATTTTAATGATGTGACACAATGCTTTATTAAAACTTGCAAATTATGCTTTTAGATAAGTAAGAATCTCAGTCAACAGTGTGAGCGCTTTCTGATACTTCTGATGCATTCAAACTCTTTGTTCAAATGCACATTGGAGTTCAAAAATTTCCTTGCTTTATGTGCAAAGAAATGTTTCCTTAGGGAAATGTTTCCTTAGTTGCATGCTGAACTTGTAAAAGGTGATCTTAAAAGTGAAGACGTGTAAAGGGCAGAGGATTATAATGTGTTTACTGGAGCTCGAACAGGAGTTATGTGACATAATCATCTCAAATTTACTTAGTCTGCCCTCATGCAGAATGTTTATTAACATAAAAACAAAAGCAGCTGGTTAGTGAGCAGCAATCACGTGGTATATAATGTGCATGTTCTCATTTTCTGTTACAGAATTCAATATTATTACTACACGACATTTTCCTAAAGCAGGTGAGCTTCCTCCTGTAAGGTGAATTGCCCCCTATTTCAAACTGAACAGCAAAAGTCAATGGCACAACTTCCATACCAAGTTTCTTTTCATCGACTATGCACTCTTCTATTAACGTAGGCACATCTGAAGGATATGGGTATGACCATAAGCTAAAACATATGAAAATAATTAAAAATTCTTCCCTCCCTCAACAGATATTCTGGCATTATCTAATTCAGCCATTTAAGATAGTGATCATTACAATGATGATTTCAAACTGGCTTAGCATCCCTTCCATGTAACATGGCATATAACATCATAAGCTATTGTTTTGGAAGGTGCTTTTTCACACCAAGTATATAAAACAATGTTCTGGGAGTCCCTATAAGGTTAATTCCAGGAAGACCAGGAAGACTGTTTTCACATCTGTGCTGTCATTGGCTTCAGTAGGATTTGAACCAGTACGAGGTTAGACCACAGACTCCACTTAGGTGTTTACAGAACCAGATCCCTATTATTGCTGACATATGCTTGTTTCAACAGATATTTGCAGGTGAGGAACAATCTGATAGCTCAAATTGAAAAGGAAAATGGTAACAAAAAGGAAGATCACATTTAGCCCAGTACACAAAAAAATCACTTTCATATTAGAACTACTATCTTTCCTTCACATTTTAACCAAAAGATATTCTTACGTTGCTTAGAGCAGGTTTTTAAATCCCTGAGCTAATAAAGCTCAGTTGCTTCAGCTGCACAGGTCTGACATGAAGCACGTACTTTGAAAAGATGCGTCACAGGGGATCAGGTTCCTAACAGTTGACTAAGAGTTCCAGTCCCAAAAGATGTGTCCCTGGTGTGCAGAACACTTAACCCTTCGACCAGTACCAACATGACTATTCACAAATTATTGATGTCCCTAAATCCCTGGCAGATTGCAGACAGTTCTTGTCTCCCTTGAAGTCAAAGCATATGGTCACTAATGAGATGGATTAAAAAATACATGTACACATCCAAGGCTTTGCCACATGCATGTGAAGACACAAAAATGGAAGAAGGTGATTGAACTGGACTGAACACTGTTAAATCCATTATTAGCCTCTTGTTATGGATCATTTCCATTGATCTATATACAGTTTCACAGCACAGTTTAATTAAAGCTGTCTGGAACAAGCCTCTGCCTTAAATGATCAGGCAGAGCTATGAAAGGATGAAACACAAGGAACTGGAGACCACTGCTCCTCGCTCCCCTCCCCCCCCTCTCTTCCCCCCTTACTATTCTTAAGCATCCAGCTGATTGTCTTTCTGGGTTACAACAATAGCAAGGGAAGAAAATTTGTTTTTCAAAAAAATATTCTGTATGTACTGCTGTTTACGAGGTTTAGTGTCACAGAAATCAGTTCAGGATTTTTCTCGCAGTTTTACTTAAAAATAATATTGAATATAAAATGATGTACTTGAATGTAAGATTTTAAAACTAGTGCAATTGGCTTGCTTGATTTTCCTTGTCCAAACTAAAATCTAGTCTAGTAAATAAAATCATTGTTGCAATGTAATAGTGAATTGCTCTGCAAAATATGATTTTGTGCTATTTTTTTTTGTTGTTGTTGCAACTGTGAAGATTGCTCTGCCCACAGCAAAAATTGAGGTGACATGTTGTAAATAATTCTGATTACATTTTGACAACTAAGCTTGTGAACTTGATCTACCAGGAGCCTACCGGTTCCAAGGAAAACTGGCCAAAGATACGTTATTCTGTGCTTTTATAAACACCTTCCAAAATTACTGAATTTGAAGTCTGTGGGAAACATTCACATGAAGAAAAAGAGGAAAAGTATGCACTTACCATGTAACATAAGAAGCTCGTTCATCACATTTTGATTTTGAAAAGAGAGAAGTCTAGACACAACATAACAAATCTTCACAACACAAACTCGATATTGAATGTTATGTAGCAGAGAACACAAATTCTGTTAGTTTGCTTTGCATAGTTTCATAGACCAGCTCAGGTAATCACTGGTTTAAATCAGTTTCAAAACCTGACTGAAATTCAGACTGGTCATTTGTGTCATATATTATGGCATATATTATGACTTCCCCTGCAACTTGAAGCATCTGTTTAATTATTATTCAGAAATACATTCCAGGCCAGAGTGTTTAAAGTGCATCATCAGTATTGCATTAAGGAGCTTATAGTGTCTCTAGAACTGCTCCTAATCTAGTCTGCCAATACGTGTCACAGAACTCCCCTATTTACCAGCGCTTAACAAAACTCAGTAATACGCTGATCATCATTACAAGTATGGAAATCATCATTATCCTAACGTTATAAATATGTGAAGACAGACTGTAACTCATGCAAAACCAGAAGGACAAAGGAAAATAATATAATAGCCAGGACAAATAACCAGGACTGGTTTGCTTCCAAAGCAAGTTTCAT